AACCACAGCATTCATTTTAATGTTCTCTCACATGGCCTGTGAATGCTCAGTGTAGTTTTATTTCTTTCCTCTTCATCCCTATTGCCTTTTTTTTTTTTTTCCTTGCAAAAAAGAACATAATGTGTGCTAGAATAAGCTTTTTTGAGTGCCATACATTGTACTCTTCAATTTACAAGTATATCTGCAGCAGTGTTCAACAAATATTATTCATTTCCTAAATATGTCCTGTAAGAGAGTCTGGTAAAGTGTTATTGCTACTGTAGTTTGGATTCCAGACAGTAAAGTGGATGCCAGAAATTGTGTCATGGTCTCTGAGCAGCAGCAGAATATTTTTTTTTCCCTAGTTCTGGGGCATGTTGTCTGCTTCACAAACTGACTTTGTTGTAATGCTAAAAACATTACAGCCTGCTACTTTCTCGTAAATGCATTTTCACCTCCAGTTGAACTGCTGAGTTCAAATGCTTCAATCACCGTAGCAGTATTAAGTTTTGAGAGATCAGTCTTAATTTGGGTTCAATGGTATATGTATCAAAAGGAGTTAATGACCTCTGATCATGGTTGTTAAGTGAATGGCCCAACCATCTGTGGAGAGATGAATTGTAATTTAGTGCCTTAGACATTAAGTTGGCGAGAAAAACAGCGAGAGAGATGGAGCCCTGGGTTGGTCGTGCAACTCGACAGGTGGATGTGCTGCAGGAGGGACACAAAGAGGGGGAATCAATGGCACAAGCATTGTTAGCAGGAACTAGAGAGGGAGGGGAAGGTGTGATTATTTAGCAGTAAAGGATCCATGAGGTATTTAATTTACTTGTTTTCCAACCTTTTCAGAATACCACTCACTTGGTAGGCCGGTCTCTTGCGGGATGGCTGACCTGATAACATACTGCAACCATAAAAACAAACAAGCAAATGGAACCAAAACCCAAATAAGTAAATATGAGATGAGTCTAATACTGATGAGGGATAAGGAAGTGCAAATAGTGTTGCACATGCGTGTGATGATAAACTGGGGACAATATGGCATGCTCTCTATAAACTTTTTTGGGGAGAGAAGCCAGGAAGAACTGGCTGAGCCTAAGGGACAGTGGTAGCAATAGTGTGAACTCCGTGTGGCTCTCAGTACTTGCATTGTGTTGTCCATGCTACCACTAACTAGTTTCATGACAAAGAGCTTGCTTATCTATAAAGGGACTGTGGTTGCCTGTGAAGCACTATATGGCTACATTATTCAAAACAAGTACTTGGATCTATTTGTAGTTAGCAGCTGAATGCAAAGCTCCTGAACTGTCTTAGAATAAAGAATCACATTTCTAAAGGGTGCATTGAACCTGCAACGATTATGCATTTTATGTTGATCTGAGAGTTTCTTTCTGTTTTTCATACATGGTTTGTTTACTGTAAATAATAAACAATATCCACTTTTGAGTACATATGAACACTAAATAATTTGCTAGGTGCAGTAATCTAACAAAGCTCTTGATCTGTTGAATGGATGTTTATTTCATGTAAAAATAAGCTGTGTTTCACTATCAGACATTTTAAGTTGTGTAATGCAAGTGTGCCTCTTTAGTTGGATTTTGCTTTTATGTCTTTTTTCACATACTACTTGCTTAAGTTTTTCCAAGGGGTTCTAATGCTCAGTTTCCAGAGTCCTTTATTCCATGAACTGAAAAATGTAGTTGAAACAAAATCAATGTTACTCTTTCTCTGTCTCAAAATTACTATTAAAGAAAACTAAATACAAGTAACACATCTGGTTTTCTCCAAAATACATGTTGCTGCATGGCAACAAAGCACATCTGGATTCAAATTGCAGCCCAGTCGTTTCAGGGCCATGATTTTCTGAGCTCCATGGAAAGACATTTTTGGTACAGGAAAGCTGTTGATTCTTATTATATTCTTTAATTTCACTACATGACATCACCCTTACTGGGTTAAGAACACAGTTACTGGGAAACACGTCTGCATATTTATGCAAAAGTCCAGCAATACTCGAATGCCTAAAATGCTCAATATTTTAGAAAGTTCTGACATTTATTCATACTTTTCAGAGTAGAAATTGCAGCTTATGGTATTGTTAGTGCTCAGGATTCTCCTGTTTCCTTTTTTTCAATGTCTTCAGGCAGAACATGTCCTGTTGATGCACTGACATTTTGTTCAATGAAGAATATGACATTTTGTTTAATGAAGAAAGCTACCTAAATTTCCCTGAAATTTTGTGAATTTGTTTTGAGCTTGCTATCTTTAGAAAAACTTCAGAGTTTATGTTTGCCTATTACTGGAGAAAGTCTAGATAAACTGCTGAGAAAAAGTATCCATTTTACTTATGTGGGTCTTTATGTTCTGAAAAGTGAGTGCTTCACCACTTAGAGAACATTAACACTTTGGTGGTTTTTCTGTTTTGTTGCTTGTGGGTTTTTCTGTGGTTTGCTCCCCCCCAACCTGCATGTGAAGGATTTTAGTTATTGTTGGTATTTGTTTTATCTAATTCTCATTTGACTCTTTCTTACTTTGCAGCTTTGCTCTGTCAGATGAAGCATACAGATCTTTAAGGGACCAGGACAAAGACCAGTGCATCCTTATTACAGGAGAGAGCGGAGCTGGAAAAACAGGTAATAAGCAGTTTTAATCTTATTCAAAAGCATTTAGAGTCATTCAGAGTCTTGCAAAGTGATGCTAGAGTCTTGTAGGAGTTGAGAGATATCAGTAAGTTTTTGTCTCTGTCAATTGCAGAAAACAAATGCTGTCAGGCTTGTTGGTGTAGGTGTGAACTTAGGTGAACTACTCTTTTTTTCACATTGTCACCATGGTGCAGTCCTATCGTGTGTTAATGCAGTATATCCTCGTCAGTATACAAAATCAGACTCAAGTAATGCTGGTTTGTGGTGGAGTAGTGCAAAGGCCAGAAAACTTTTAGACTCTCCCTGTGGGAAACATGAAGATGGAGAAAACTGAATGCTCTTGGTCTTCTAGACCGGGAGACAATCCTGAGATACTTTTGCATGTCTTTTAATAAAGATATGCATTTAAACTGGATTATGCTATTTATCCAAGGAAAATAAATAATAGTAGCTGGTCACTTGGAAATTTCATGAGTCTTTTGCATGCTGTGCTCAGCTGCAATTTCTGAGATTGGCTTGTGGATGAGAACATTGTGTTTCTCAGGCAAAGCTGAAATTGCCTTGAAAATGGCCACTGATTTTTAAACTGGAATGGTAGAAATCAAATAAGGATTGTGTGACTGCAGAACAATTTAGGTAGACCTTAGAAAAGAAATAAGCCAGGTTTTTTCTGAAATAGCAATTTAAAACTGAGGTGACTTGCAAAAGGCACAGCGGGAAGGAATGCATAGCTGTGTTTCCATGTAATTTAAGAGATTTTTCCGTTGAATCTGAGAAAATGTGGAGTTTTATATTCTTATGCTGAGCAAGACTTAAAGTTGGGTAACAAGAAGTTTCTTTCCAGGCCTTTTGTGCAAGCGTGAAATGTAGGGTCTTCATCTTTGGGTTTTTTTGTATGATCAGTGGTGTCCAATTGAGAAGTCTTGAAATCTTGTAATATAACCCTTTTTTTGAGTTCAATAATGTGAAAATGCATGTGTATCAGTAAAGGTGTATATTAAAATAATCAAATTTGTATTAATATGATTAGAGATTCTATTTAGGAGTTTAGACTTCAGGAGGAGGTCTATACTGGTACTCTTTCATGTCTTGATTTCCTCAGGAACTGTGAATTACCAAGCACCTCATGCAACCGAATTCCATCTTTTATTCATTTATTTATTCAGTTCAGAAGTGTAGCAGTGGTTGAGTTTCTGAGCTTGTCTATTTGTAGAGAATATTCTGGTAGATTTAGATTTGTATAGAGATTTTGACTGTGCAGTAATTTTCATAGCCCCATGGAACATAATATGAATTATTCCTGCTTTATCATGGTAAGTACAGAATTAAGATAGGATTTGAAATTCCAATCAATCATAGACTTAGAATCTGTACTGTTCTCTCTAACATTTGATGTAACTACTGTTGCTGAAATGGGGCTATTAGCTGAGAAGTCAGGTTTTCCTAAAAAAGAAAAAAAAACAAAAAAACAAAAAAAACAAAAAACCGAGGGGAGTCAGGGAGGAAGTTCCCGGAGTTGAGGCAACAAACTTGTTAGTACAGATCCTCTATAACGCTGTTGTAGATTTTTGGTAACCAGAACATTTGACATGTTTGGACTGGAAGAATTGAAACTGAACTGTCAACAGTTGGGGTTTTTTATTTACTTCCAATTTTGTTCTTCATAGAATCATAGAATAGATTGGGTT